GTCATTATTAAGTATATCTGCAGAAACAATTTTAACATACTTACCCTCAGAGAGTTCATTTCTAAACAAAAACCAATTAATCAATATATGCATACAATAGTAATATTTATAATAATAATGAACAATTTATCCTGAACAATAACGATCATGAACAATGGAACCTTTCGGTATCACGAAATCAGATGAAAATATCCAGTTACCAGGTGGGCGAGAAAAGAGTGATAACTGCTTCTTTCTAAACTCATAAATCGGGTTTCAGTCGCTTGATGGGGATTGCTTCGGCAAACTTGAGGAGAATTGAACTCTTCTGCATGAGCGATCTTGCAATGTCCACCTCATGACCCCTGTCAAGGAGATACCCAGTGTAACAACAGAAGACAAGGGCTAGACAACAGATAATTTATTAAGGAAAATCAACACATATTTATAGATTTTAATGTACATTATTGTAGATTATTGTTAGTAGAAAATACAGTCTTTTGATTGGTTGTTTCTCACAGAAAGTTAACCTTGCATCTCTTTGTGGCTGTGTCAGATCATCCATATACTAACTGTATCCGCCTACGCAAAGCCTTTGTTCTCATTTTCTCACCACCAATATTGGGGACATAAACATTGACGTCAATTACTGTCTGCTAACTTTGGCTAGCAGCCAGCTCTCACCACACCAGTAATGGCATTATTGTAAGCATTTGTTCTCTTGAGACGTAGGCGTTTCAGTACATATTCAGAAAATCGGAGGTATACCCTTCTTCTTTCTGTTCTCCCAATGTAACTGCTACCACAGATACATGTAAATTTGTTCACACAATTGGAGTTAACATGAGAAGCGTATCTGTCGATCATTGTTTGATTGCACCAAAGAGGAGCGTGTTGTCCGATAAACGGGAACCAACTCACTTAGCTGCAGGATAGGCTCTGACTGGTGACATATCCATTCTCCTAAATATCATCACCTTTAAAATCAAGTTGAATGTGAAGATAGGCACTTTTTTCCCCACTGTGATTTGTTTGACATTTGAGGCTTCACATCTCCTGATTTATGTGTTATCAGCCTTTTCTTGCCCACCACCTGGTAACTGGATATTTTCATCCTCTCCATCATTTGATTATGTAACGCCAAAAAGATTCCATTCTGTATGATTATTATTGTTGTTGTTTGGGATAAAGTGATTATTATTATTATCATTGTTATTACCATTGTATGCATATATTGATTGGTTTTTGTTTAGAAATGAACTCTCTATAGGTGAGTATGTTAAAATAGTTTCTGTACATAAACTTAATAATAATAATAATGCCTTTAGGCTGTATACTCAGCTGTTGAGAAGCCAAGGAAATAAGCAATGGATGATACCATCTTCATATTCTGCACAAACCACTGTTGTTATTGTTGTTTATTCTTGCTTTATATTCAAATTCATAAAAAGGGAATAAATATATGAAGTTTCTGAAAAATCGCACCCATCTCCACCCCCACCAGCTTAACATATGAATTTGTCAATTTCATTTCATATTGTTGTTTACTTTTCTAGTAAATCTTTGGAATTCTTTTCTTAGACATAATCTACTGAAACATATTCAACTTCTGATGATATATATATATGTTGTTATTTCGCTTGTTGTAAGTAGAATACATATATTATTATTATTGTTCCCTTGGGTTCCTAGAGGAACATAGGGCTTCAACTGTACGTCTCCACTTGTTTCTGTCTTCTGCTGTACTTTTCACCTCCATCCATGTTAGTCCATACTGTTTCAACTCCTCTTCACACGATCTCCTCCATGTCACCCTCGCACTGACGACCCACTCACCGCTTCCCTTTCGGGTTCCACTCGAGCTATGGCCTGACGCGCGATGTCACCCCGCAGCGGCCTCCTCAGCGAGTGTCCAATCCATCTCCACTTTCTCCTGCATATTTGTTGGGCGATTGGTTCTTGTTTTGTTTGTTCCCATAGTTTCTTGTTGGTTCTTGTTCTTTCCGGCGGCCATCTGATCTTGAGTATAGAACGAAGACAGTTAGTTGTTGATAAAGGTCTGCAACAGGCTGTTGGAAATATTCTTTGTGACCCGCCAAGTTTCTGATCCCTACGTATAGAAGAACTGACTGACTTGACGTTTGTATTGAAAATCCGAATTTTGTTGTTGATGCAGGCTGAGTGACGAAGATTTCCAGATTGGTTTTAGGTTGATGAATGTGTTTCTCGCCTTCCCGATTCTCGATTTGACATCTTCGAGAATACATATATAGGCATAGGTATATATGATGTTTTAAACCTTAAAATTTTGAAAACACGATTAACAATAACACAATTTAGCAATAAATAAGCTTTATTCTGAACAATATTTATGTGATGTACAGAATTTCGGGTGGAGTTTATTACGTGATGTTTTCTCTTCATCCACGATCTTCAAATAAATGATTATTTTTCCCTAGTTTGAGCACAGATTGATATCAGTTAGAGAAGCATTGGAGTACTGCGAGACAGTTGTTTCATCAGCCTAGTTTGTGAATCTCTGGGGCTGGAACTCAGGACCTTCCGGTTACAAGGCAAGCTGGCTCGTATACCATTCAGCCAGCCACTGGGACCCGATTCCTGAATGGCCATAGCCCATGAATTCTAACTTCTATCAATTCGTGATGCATTTAGGGCGACTGGCAACCACCAACCAATGTCATCGGAGGGACTTCATCCTCACTCCCAACTGGATGGACCTCACTGGTCACGACTTTTCACTAGAACTTACTAGAACAGGAAACTCCGTTCTGTAGCAAGTCACTAGTGAGCATCAGATTAATTTTCTAGAGTTGGTTTGTAATGGTTAGTTTTGTTTTTACGAGTTGATCACGGATTGATATCAGTTAGAGAACCATTGAGAACCAGCACTGGAGTACTGCCAGACAGCTGTTTCATCAGCCTAGTTTGGAAATCATCGGCAGTAGGCCCTTACAAACCAACTATAGAAATTTAATCTGATGCTCGCTAGTGACTTGCTACAGGACAGAGTTTCCTGAAGTAAGTTCTAGTGAGAAGTCGTGACCAGTGAGGTCCATCCAGTCAGTCAGTTTCGCTAAAATCACGAATTGGTAGAAGTTAGAACTCATGGGTGGCCATTGAGGAAATGGTTCCCAGTGGCTGAATGGTATACAACATTGCCTTGTAACCTGAAGATCCTGGGTTCGAACCCTGGTGGTGGGTGCGTACTACCGAAGAGTCCCAAACTAGGATGAAACAGTTGGCTGTCTAGCAGTACTCGAGTGGTGGTTTTCAATGGTTCTCTAACTGATATCAATCCGTGGTCAAACTCATAAAAACAAAACTAACCCTTACAAACCAACTATAGAAATCTGAATAAGATAAATTCTATGCAATATATATATGGTGGGTGTTTTCGACAGCTCATATTTCAAGTAGGTCGCCAATATTTCATATTTTATGTATTTCTTTTTGATCAAAAATAAATTTATATTATAAAACATTAAAACTAGGCTGTCTTTGAGTTTTGCTAAATCTGTAATCACTACCTACCACATCGATAGTAGTAGTTGTTCACCCATTCAGCACACAACTACATATGCGCATATATCCGTGAAAGACAGGAGAGGAGAGAAGAGGTTTCATTTTTCAAACATCATCGTATATTCCACCCACCCCACCCGCGACTCCGTCCCTTTTTTCTCTTTCTCCATCTCTCCCTCTCCATTTTCCCAATTTCTACACCTATTTATATATGATGTGAAATATTTCTGACAACTACTCATAGAGTAGATAGACCCAGGAAGAGAGAGAGAGGGAGAGGGAGAGAGAAAAAGCGCATAAATTAAAATAAATTGCATTATTTCCACTATCAGTGTGTTGTATAATACAGATTGTGATGATGATGATGATGAATAATCTTCTTCCTATTCCTCGTCCGGCGCTTTTCGACAGGACAGGAGTAAGACAAGGGCTGCCTACTATCACCAATGATTTTCCTGATTGCAGTAGACTGGATAATGCGATAAACAGTGGGCAATGAGGAAACAGGCATAAAATGGACTAACACAAAAAACTTGGAGGATCTGGACTTCGCCGATGATATATGTCTGATTTCCCACAAACTGGAAGGTATACAAGCGAAAAGCAACAAGTTGGCAGAAGAAGCATCAAAAGTAGGACTTCAGGTGAACATAGAGAAGACAAAGGTGATGAAGATTCTTGGGCACCACCACCAACAGCAACAACAACAGACAACAATCAGTATAAATGGAAGGAACCTGAAAGAAACAACCTCTTTTAGCTACCTGGGAAGCATCGTTTCAAGTACAGGCCAACGGAACTGACGAGGATATCAAAGCAAGCATCGGAAAAGCAAGACAAGCTTTCACTACTAACGTCAAGTCTGTGTGGAGGTCCACGGCACTCAGCATAAAAAATAACATCCGGATTTTCAACTCCAATGTGAAGTCAGTGCTACTATACGGATCAGAGACTTGCACTGCGCGTCATAAAGAGGACCTCAAACAAACTAAAGACTTTCATTAACAGTTGTCTTCGCTCAATACTTCGCTCAAGATCAGATGGCTGGCCAGAAAAGATCAGCAACAGGGATCTCTGGCAATGAATGAACCAACCCAGCAGGAACCGATTGTGAAACAAATAGGCAGGAAGAAATGGAGATGGATTGGCTGGCCATACTCTGAGGAAACCATCAAGTGACATGACTAGACAAGCCATTGCTCGAGTGGAACCCGGCCGAAAGGGAAGCGGCGAGTTGGTCGTCAGTGCAAGAGTGGGTGACTTGGAGGAGGTCATGTGAAGAGGAGATGACGTGTGGGCAGACTTGGAGCCAGGTGAAGACTGTAGCAGAGAACAGAACGCAATGGAGACGCATTGCTGAAGCCCTATGTTCCTGTAGGAATTAAAGGATACAATAATAATAATAATCCTTGTCCTCTTCTGCACTCATTCACTCTTTTCTTGTGTTTTTCCCCCCTTCCAATTTTTTTTTCTTATAGCTGTAACTGCTGCACGTGTATGGGTATTGGAAAGAGCCTGTTTCCAAACTATTATGATGAAAACTGGTCTGGAGCGTATTGAAGAACGTAAAGCATTTCTTCGAAGGTATATTATTATTATTATTATTATGTCTTCTTATTTATTATGTGATGTGTGTATGTATGAAGTATTGCGCCTTTCTTTTTAAGCGTGTAGAAAAAATGTCATGATAAATGATACATGTCTAGTCCTCCTGTGTGTTTTGGTGCAGACTGAATTCTATCAGTGTCACTAGGTAGGTAGGTAGGTATTAGCTCGCCATCATGGTATGGTGCATATTGATTTGATGATACTAGATGGTTGAAGGCAATCGGCCACAGAAAGCCACCGACATCATCTAGATCTCGTGCTATTTCGCTGGCACTCACCAGTTAGTCAGCAAGGAGAAGGTAGGTGTATCTGTAACCGCCTTGAAGAGGAATTCATGTCCCTTCTGAGATTCGAACCCGCGTTACCAGCCAGTGCTGATGAAAACCTGACTGATAGAAATCAGTCACCAAAGATAGGACTAGACGCATCACATTAGTTATTGACTAGTGTCCAATCAAAAATATCCAATACAGTCAGTCCTACAGGAGGTCAATTGCGAGCCCGAATAGCTCAATGGTAACATCTCTGACGTGGGTTCGAATCTCAGAAGGGACATGAGTTCCTCTTCAAGGCGGTTGCAGATACGCCTTGCTTACTGGTGGTGACTGCCGACTAGCACGAAACCTAGGTCACATGGGGCTTCCTCTGACCGATTGCCTCCAACCATCTAACACGATAAATACACTTATTCTCTGGTGTATAGTTGTGTTCTCTGAGTTGGATGGTTTCATTGCCCCACCACTAGGCAACATCTTCAGCGCATCATAGTTCAAGTTGAAGTCAGCTTTGAAATTTCTCCACGCTCGTCGACCATGCACATGGTCCGGGATTCGATCCCCGGCCGGCGCACACCCGATATCAATGGTCGTCCTACTAAATTTGGGCTACCGATATCACATGCTGAAAATTCCATACCTGTACCAAAAATACTGTGTGGAATCAAGCTATAATAAAAAATTAAAATTATTAGTCATCTCTCCTGGTCACTTTCGACATCGTGATTGGTTGTTTTTGTATGCTTTCATACCTTCTAGCCTACTTGTACTGATTGTTTCCTTGACCTGAAGTTTGATCCTTTGTGTGTGTGTGTGAGATTTCCTTCTTATCGATTGGTAAATATTGTCTATGTCAAACTTCAGGTCAAGGAAACAATCGCTACCAATACAAGTAGCCTAGAGGATGTGAAAACACACAAAAACAACCAATCACGACGTTTAAGGTTACCCATCAGGAGAGATGACTAATAAACTCGTGGAGAAATCTAAAAGCTCACTTCAACTTCAAATTGAAGTATGCGCTGAAGATGTTGCCCAGTGGTGAGGCAGTGAAAACTTCGCAAATAAACCACCATCCAGCTAGCTCAGAGAACACAACTATGTTAAAATCATCCACCTGAGCTACAAATCTTCTCCATTATACCTAAACACTTATATCTCTATTTATGAATTTAAATAAAGCCCCCCAGAAAAACCAATATGGTGGTTTGTTAAGAACACGATGATGATATGTCAGCATCTGTCTTGTCGGTTCCTTTACAGCTGCGTAAAACCTTAAAAAGAGAGACATTGTCTTAACGTACTTCCAAAGTCGCGATGCGACATGATTACAGTTTATAGGCGACTCTAAAATTAATAAACTGTACTCAGAAATCAGACAGACTGCTCAAGTTTCAACAGAATAAAATCAAAAAACAAATTATAATAAGTGGAAAAGGAGTCGCGTGATAAAGACAGGAGGTAGGTAGGTAAGTTGAGTGTTCTGTAACAATATGGTGAGTACAACTCAAACTATGGAAACACAAAAAAACACAAGCAAAATTACAATGTATCAAAAGCGGAAAAGATTAAAGCAAAAGATTACGCAATCAAAGCAAAGAACGACAGACAGATAACTAGCTACTTCTTTCTCAACACATAAATCATCATCATCATGATGACCAAGTCCCTCAGAGTGTCCTCGTGGTTGTCGTCTGCGTAGGTGAGCGGAGTAGATTACTGACTCACTATTTGACGATTTTCATGGTCCACATCCATTCCATCTACTCTCGCAGATTCCCAACACTTCTATACCATATCTTTTCATTTCTTTGGCTACGTGGACAGCCTTCCCGGCTTCGTACATTGTACGAATATTCCATGTCCCCATTCTTATTCTTGCTGGCTGGCTGTCTGACTGGCTTCCCGAAGGCTGGCTTTCACCAGCCCACTGTGTCATTTTGAGCCAGCAAACTAGTTACCAAGGCAAAGAGTGACTGATAACTAACTGCTTCTTTCTGAACACATAAATCGGGTTATAGACCTTTTATAGCAGTTACTCGGGGAGATTATGCTTTCTATTGATAATTTTAAAGGATTTCAAGTTGTTCACCTCATGAAAAACCTCCGCACCAGGTCCTCTGGTGAAATCCGATTAGGAAACGACGAGTTGGGCTCCCGAGATCGTGGGTGTGTGTGAAGGTGGGGGGGAAATTAAGGCTTATGGGCAATTGTGGAGCCGCCTAAAAGTGATTGTGCCGAACAAAGTGAAATAGAGATTTGTTACTGAAGCTTTATATTCTACGGAGAACCCAAGAGAATCATCATAATAATAATAGTAATAACGTCATAATCCGTATGGTCGGGATCCTTGGCAATTAGCTCTACTAGTACAGTTTGTCCCTTTGAGACAGACATAGGCTTCCTGGTACATATTCAGAGAATCTATAGTGTACCATTTTTTCTGTTGTATGAATACAGATTTCTTGTTTAATATGGTTAGGATTCCTGGCTCTCACCCAGCCGGTCCGGGTTCGACTCCCGACCCGGGAGCGCTTTTGAGTGCGTCGGTGGCACAGCGGTAGAATGCTCGCCAATCACGCCTAACGTGGTCCGGGCTTCGATCCCCGGTCACTGGACGAGGCGCTCCTTTACCTCGCTAAGCCAGTAGTAAGACTGGTAAAGAGGGAATGTTGGCTAGGCATGAGGCTGGCTAGCAACCGCATCCTGTAAAAATAAACACCACCACTGCTACAGAAACTTCAAGCCTCTAGCTTGAAGCCGCCCTGTGTCCCACCACTGGGAATTTAAAAAAATGGTTTGTGTTGTTGCTTGTGTTTTGTTTCTGTGATTTGAGCTGAACTCACCACATTGTTACACAACTTATTAGTTGTCTATCATCTACCTATCCACCTCTTGTCTTGATTACACAACTTCTTTTCCACAGAATTCAAACACTGATTATAATTGTTGCTGATTTTTGTTAAAACTTGGACCTCCTGTGTGTATAAGTTAAATAAATGTAATTCCTGAGCAGTGTTTATTAAGTTGACGTGTATCCATCCTGTTAACTGACATCGTGTACATAAATTTTAGATTTTATCCAGCAGAAAGAAGCGAAACTGACGGTAATAAAGTCATGGCACATCATCTTATTCTGCACAGACTATTTCAGTTTTCTGTTTTACTCAGGTGTATATGGAAATAACTTCCAGCTCGAATATATGTGTAGACAAGATGTTCGGCTCTCAGGAATTAAGTTTGTAGCGGTGTGATTTATTCCAGTTTTGATCACAGATTGATATAAGTTACTGAACTATGGAAAAGCAAGGAGTACTGTACTGGACAGCTGTTTCGTCCAAGTTTTGGACTCTTCATCAGTACGCAAGACCTTCCTGTTACAAGGCAAGCCTGTACACCATTCAGTCACTGGGATCCTATCCAATGGCTAGCGCATGAATTCCAACTTCTACCAATTCGTAATTTTAGTGCGACTAGCACCAGCCAAAGTCATCGGTGGGGTATTTTTCCTCACGCGTGACCTGGTGGGCGGCTTCACGAGCTTTCCTTGTAAGTAAAAGGTCCTGGGTCCAAACCCTGGTGTCCGGGTGCTGATGAAGAGTCCTATACTAGGACGAAACAGTTATCCAATGTGGTAGTCCCTGACTTATATCAGTCCGTGATCATACTTGTAACGTGTTCAGCGCTTACTTCAGACGGAAATGAACATTTGGTTGTTTTCAGACTTATAATTGGTACGGGTCGTTTCGTCGATATGACTGACAGTCAACTCTTTTGTCATATCATTTGTTCCTTACTGATTAGTGCAAGTTAAACGTCTGTTAAGTACAGATTGATCTGAGTACCATTCTTGGTAGAAATATGCAATTATATTTATTTTAATTTGTTATTATTGTTATTAAATTGTTTTGTTTTTTTTAAATTTTATTATTATTATTATTACAGTGTACCATTGCTTAAAGATTTATCACCGAATCGTATACTACGTATAGCCGATGCATTAGAAGCACAATATCATTCAGCTGGAGATTGTATAATTAGACAAGGTGAATTGGCAGATAGCTTCTTCCTTATTCAATCTGGAAAGGTAAACAAATATGATATTTTATTTTTGGTAAACTTACCAATGTTGTAACATTAAATTTTTGTGGATATTTTGTGTGGATTTTCCCTTCTCTTATGAAGTTGCTAAGATCACTTATGTAGAGTAGCTTGATATATACACACTTCTTAGTGGCGAGTTGTAGAATGCGTCTTGGTGTTCTGACCTGATGAATTTATATCTCCTATAATAAACCTCTCTGGATAATTAACTATCAATCAGGATTTTTGCCAGTATTCTTCCCTCAACCTTCAAGTGTATCCGTGGTGTGTATATTTGTTGAATCCTACGAAAGACGCATCTCACCAAGGGCTGTTTTGTACTGAACAGGAGAGAAGCTGTGGTAATTAATATATTCTGGCCTATCGAGATAGGTCTTCTGTTATTGAGATCGTTGTCAAAATGAATTGGTTATTCAATGAGCGCCGAAGAGTTGATTGCTGACGAAATCTCAGTACGGATACAGAAGGCTCGTTTAGCCTTTGCCAAATTACGCGATCTCTGGCGTAGACGTGATATCCGGCAGGCTGTTGAACACCAAAGTGCGTGTGCACTGCTCAGCAGTCTCTCTTCGCCCCGTCCTCCCTTATGGCTGTGAGACCTGGCCATTGAAAGTCGGAGATACAAAAAGGTTAACTGGCTTTGATCATAGGTGTCTGTCTGCGTTCTATCACTCGTATGTGTTATGTGGTATAATAAGGTGAGCAATATTGAGGTTAGGCTTCGGTCGAGTGCTAGGAGTTAAGGAGGGAAAATCAACTGACGAGGTTTTGAAGTTACATGGATTGAGAGAAATAGTTGGGACATGTGTTACCCATGCCTAGCCTAGCCAGTGCCTTCCTAGACAACGGGAAATGTTAGTCACTGACATAGGGCGGATCAAGTTAAGAAATAGTGAGCCAGTGGTGGCCAAACCAAAACGTGGTTTCATCAGTCAATGAAGTGCACAACAGTTAGTTTAAGCCAGCCAGCCAGTCAGCCATGTATGGAAGTGTAAACTTCCTAACTGGCTGGTCGGGGTCCTCGGGATGACGGTAAGAACCAATGGTGACGGCTGGAAATAATTGGTGGAATTAATTAATAATAATAATTAATAATTAGTGGAATCCAGGATAAACCGCATTTCGTCCTATTTGGGACTCGTCATCTGGATGTACCTGCATTTCCCAATGAGTAAAGAGTGCATACATTATTTCTCTTGTATAACTTTTTTTAAAATACTTTTATTATTATCTTATTAGGTTCGAGTTACCATATCTTCATCACAAAGTGGTTCTATGGAAAATAAAGAAACTGAAATAAGACAATTAGTGAAAGGTGAATATTTCGGTGAAAAAGCTTTACTCGGTGAAGGTCGACGAACAGCTAATGTCTATGCTGTTGGTCCTGGTGGTGTAGAAGTATTATGCTTATATAGAAAGTAAGTTAAATAGCATTTTAACTCATTAATTTCCACTTTTACTGAGATATTCTCTGTTAGTGTTAACATGATTGATGCAGATAAATGTAGCTGACTGGACTGTTCAAAATTTCCGTGTTTAACTCCTGAATTAAAGTCAATAAGTTACTTAACTTTATTGTGATTAATATCTTTGATGTGTATTATTTTATTGAATAATTCAAGGGAAATCGTATCATAAGTTGATCAAATTTGGGTTTCATAGCACCTGCTAGGTTGAACACTATTTTTGAGTGTTTTGATTTTGTCACAGTACAATAGACAGTTTCTTATGTGAAACTCCTCGTCCGTTTCTTCGAAACAGGAGTCAGTAACTGGGTGTAATGTGTATCTAGTCCTGCTATGTGTTTGGTGCAGACTGAATTCTATCAGTATTCGAGTTTGCAGTGTGGTCACCATGCCACTAGATGGCTCGTCATCACGCGGTGCACTGTGAATTGTTGGTATTAAGTGGTTGGGAGCAATCGGCCACAGGAAGCTCCACCTGACTTAGGTTTCGTCCACTCATCAACAAGATGTATCTGCAACCCTGAAGGAATTCATATCCCTTCCTAGATTCAAACATGCGTCACCCAGTGTTGCAGTCAGATGTTACAGCTGAGCTATTCGAGCTCGAAACCTAGGTCCAAGGCTTCCTGCCGATTGCCTCTAAAAGGGTAAGCGATTCAGAATATTTACTAAATATAATTTGAAGCTAGGAGTTTGAATTACAAAAAAAGGGCAAGTTTAAGACCACTGTTGTTAAAAAGAGACGATTGGATAAACCGCTTCTGTATATACACTTCAGGGTCTTCTAAGTACTTCTGCAGTGGACAGAAGAATGTAGGCAGAAACCCGGTGCATGACTTGGTCTTACCTTAAATTATCACTTTGAGAGACTTTCCTATCGGTGCGGAATGATTTGTAAGAACAGTGTGCTTCAGACGCGCATTAGAACATCTCCCAGTATAGAGGAGAACTTAAATGAATTCTTGGACAACACCAAAGTCAAACGATCTTGAGCCAACCAATCCGATCACTCTGCATTTGTAATACTGAGCAATCTGATCGGTGGACTCAAGGTCGTCTGACTTTCTTGTCTATTTTCAAGTATTGGTTTTGAATGGATTTTGTTTGATTGCATGGAGGATTTCATCATGAGCTGACATCAGTTAGAGAACCATTGGAAAACCTGGGAGTACTGGACAACTGTTTCGTTCTGATTTGGGACTCTTCATCAGTACGCACCCACCGACAGGGTTCAAACCCAGGACCTTCTGGTTACAAGGTGAGCTCGTAGACCATTGAACCACTGGGACCCGATCCAATGGACCTTGAATTCTAACTTCTGCCAATTCACGACATAGCGCGACCATTTCGCAATGTCTTCTTCTTGTCTATTCACATCTAAGTTCTCCTCCATGCTGGGAGATGTTCGTATTGCATGTGTGGACACAGTGTGTCCTACTTGTACACGGCCCACGTACAATTAGCTCCACAAAGGAACAAGTGAATTGATATGAATATATATATATGCATATGGATTTTGCCAAAACAGGGGAACATTGTCTAACCGAATATAAATCGAATTCCTGCAACTCAACACTTTGAACATATTTAATTGCTTAAAACTAAAGCAAGCATAAATTCAATTTCTCAATTGCGTCACGCATATTTACGATTTTTGATTAGTTAATTCCAACTAACTTTTCTGTTTTCTTCATTCCTACATTAAGAGAACTCAAAAAGAAATGGGTTGAAAAATAGCGCAAAACTTATGCGCATATGATCCGTTATATTTTGATTAGAAAAAAGAGAAATAGAGTAACATGATGACATAACGGGTGTTGCGTCTGTTTTTTTTCTTCTGCTGTTATTTGACGTAGTTATCATCTGTCTGTTTGTCTGTCTGTCTGTCTGCCTGTGTCTCCCTCATTCAATGACGTCATAATTTCACTATATGCTATCATTAAACGTGTTATTTATTGATCAACTCGACGATATATCTACACACCATACTACTTATATCCTTATCGCTGATTTCGCTACTTAAATCTTTTACTTTGATGTTACTTTTGTTGCATTGAATTCGATCATGGATCGATGAAGGGTAGAGAACCACTGAAAACCAGAGCGGGTACTTATTAGTTTGGGGTTCCAATCCAGGACCTTCAGGTAACCAGGGGCAGTTTACGCCGTCTCTGGCGTAGACGTGATATCCGGCTGGCTATCGACTACCAAAGGGCGTGTGTACTGCTCCGGCTCAGCATTTCGCTCCGTCCTCCTTTATGGCTGGCTGTGAGAAATGGCCCCCATTGAGAGTGGAAGACATGAAAAGCCTGGCTAGCTAGCTAGCTGTCTTTGATCATAGGTGTCTGTCTGGTTTCTATCTCCTGTGTTGGGTGGTATAATAGGGTGAGCAATATTGAGGTTAGGCTTCGGTCGAGTGAGTGTTTGGTGAGTTGGAGGGGAAATCAATCGACGAAACTGTGAAATTACATTGAGATGGTTATGACATGTGATACGTATGCCTAGTCATCGCGTTTCTCAACCTAAGAGCAATGTTATCTGATATAGAGCCAGGCTGGAAAAGAGCTAGTGGTGGTCAATCCAAAACATGGCACCAGTCAATGAAATCCACAACAGTTAGTTTAAGCCACGTAGGAAGGTGTAGACTTCCTGACTGGCTGGTTGGGGTCCTCGGGACAGTAAAAACCAATGACTGGAGACAATTGGTGATATGGCTCAAAATCGTTCTCAATGGTGGCGCAGATGCATCCACTCCTTGTGACTTACAGTACCCAATTAAACTATATTGTTCTTCGTTATTACTATTCCTTTTGTCTCATATCCCTGTTTACTGTCTCTATTATGCATTTCCTTTTACTTTCTTCTCTTGCTTTGTGTGGTACATGGAGGGAGTGTGGCGACTTGAACTGCTGCACATCGGTGCAAAGTTCTATGTTGAAAACAGACAGACAAGGGGCAAGCTTGTGGGGATCATTTAGCCACTGGGACTCGTTTTGGATGGTCTATGAATTCTAACTCCTCTACCAATTCGTCATTTTAGCGCTTACTGCTGAAGACTGACTCAAAATAGGATTAAACAACTGTCCAGTACTCCCTGATTTTCAATGGTGTTGTCTAACTTACATCAATCTATGATTAAACTTGAAACTAACTCTTGAAAATTCCTATTGCCTCTTTGTGTGTGTGTGCATGTGTGTATGTACAATCAGACAGTTGGTCACACTGTGGTGGTAATGTGATACAAACAATGTGTTTCAACGGAATGTTTATCTCACATGTTCCCACAGTTATATACTGCATTAACAAAAAAATACTATGTATATTTGAACATTGTATTTCATGTCGTTTGATGTAAACCAAAATCACACGCTCAGTGATTAGCTAACGATATAAACTGTGTATCTAAATAAATAGAGGTTTGATTAATGAAAAATGCACCTTGGCTTCCGTGTCCTGCCTTCTGTTGTTACATTTGGTGTCGCTGCCTAACGACAAATGGAAAGCCTATGCCCTGCAGTTTTTGGGGAAGGAGACATATAGATCTTCGGGCAGGACTTCGAGGCTGTTGCTCAGTTGAATGGCGTTCAAGATCTGTCAGCGATGAGGCTGTTACTTGGAACGCTGCTGGGTGGCGAAACACTGGCAAATATGAGCCAGGGTCATGCAAACTGCTTCCAAAGTGGGAAGGACCATACATGGTCACTGTGAGACAGGGTCACGTATATACGATCAGAAATGCAAACAAAGAGGAGCAGGTGAACGTCAGCGAGCTCCGGAACTCGATACAGCAAGACAAGCTAACAAAGCCACCAACACCAAGAAGATCGAACCGACTTCAGTCGAAAGTTTTTGATGGGCGTGGGGGGAACGAGTGTGGTGGTGTGATACAGACAATAGGCGCCTACGGAATGTTATTCTCACATATTCCCACAGTTCAATACTGTATTAGCAACAGAATACGATATATGTATTTGAGCATCCTACTTCTTGTCAGTTAATGTAAACCGAAATCACACGCTCAGTGATTGGTTAAAGAATATAAACTATATAGACATAAACAGTGGTTTGATCACTTGAAAATATCGGTTGGCTTGTGTGTCTTGCCTTCTACTGTTACAACACTGCTGTCATCTCCTAAACTCAATCAGCTTTTGGTCATTGCATTGCTTAGATCACTGAAAAGAGGAAGGCAGAGAGAGAGAGGGAGTTTGTGTACTGTTCACCAACTAACTACATTCGATACAAAAGATGTGATTACCCTTGACAAGCTTAGTAATAATTGTTAGGTGTTGAAGATCACTTGTAAAGTGAAATAAATTTAGTATTTTGGTAAATTTGAAAGACGAGATTAAGTTAGACAAAGCAATAAGAAGATATAATCATATGTATTGAATCGTGTATTGTGTATTTGCACACACAACACATTTCGAACAATCTGATCACACACACGGACTTGTCATAGGAAGATGTATATATATGTGAAATTAATAAAGACAATTAAGAGGTGAGAAAATAGACTTAGGTCAAGTTAAAAGGACATATTGAAGGTGAAAATAACAATGAAGATCAATCACTAAACCAAATAACAGAGGTAATAAATAGTACATCTACCCTGACTGGTATCAAAACAAAGTTTACCAAGGAAGGAAGGAAGGAAGGTTTAGTTAGTGTGGTTTAAACTTTCTGATTGTCAACTAGGGCTTCCACAAACTTTAGGATGCACCCTACCTCAAACACATTTTATAGATAGGTTTAGAGGAGGTGTGTAAACATCAATTTTATGTCCTGTCTCCTCTATAATATGTTTCGCAATAGAGGAGCTAGGTCGACGTCTGTTCTCACCATTGATTAATGGGTTCTGGGGATTCTGTTTGCTTCTGGAGCCATTTAGGAATATGCTGTGAAGCCAGCCCTTACTGGCAGAGGTCGATGAGTCCTCCTTTCTATGTATG